CCGAACTGCAGAACTGCAGTCCGCTGAAGTAGCCTGCAGTGCTGCATTTAACCACTGCGCCACCTCGGCTCTTTAAGGCCTGCTTTGTATTGTGGTTAATTTGATTTGTTTTTCTTACGTTAAAACTTGCTTTCAACTATCCAGAGGCTCTACCATGACACTGGCAGCCATATAAAACAAACAAAAAAGAAATGTCATGTGGGATAGAAAGCAAAAGCTTCCTGTCCCGGGGAGACTTTTTTAGGATGGGTAGATTTTCCCTGATACCAAAGACAACCAAGGTGGACTTTATCGGAGACTACAATTGGTCCAGAACGCAGCCGCGTGAGCGATACTGGGTGTACCGAGATACACCCATGTTACACCTATCCTCTGCGAGCTGCACTGGCTCCCGATCGGACTCCAAACACACTTCAAGGTGCTGGTTATTACCTTTAAAGCCCTACATGTTATTACCTTTAAAGGCCTACATGGCCTAGGACCTGGATATCTACGAGACCGTCTTCTGCCACATACCTCCCAGCGTCCGATCACACAGGATGGGCCTTCTCCAGGTGCCGTCGACTAGTCAATGTTGTCTGGCGGCTCCTCGGGAGAGGGCCTTCTCTGTAGCTGCCTCGGCCCTATGGAACGATCTACCCCCAGAGATCCAGACCCACCCCACTCTTTCGGCCTTCCGAAAGTCTATTAAGACCTGGCTATTCCGGCAGGCCTGGGGCTGTTACCTCTTGATTGAGGTCCTGCCCCACTAAGGTTGAGTGCATGTTGTGTCTTTTTAACTTGTCTTGTCTCTTTATTTTAATTTTTTTAGTTTTCTTTTAAATTGTTTTTTATGTAAGCCGGCTGGAGTCCTTCAGGATTGGGCAGCTTATAAATTTATTAAACCTTAACCTTAACCTTATAATTTATACCAGCACTTTGAACGGAATTCAGAAACGTATTGGCCAATCGGTGTTGAGCCCGCAAAAGAGATATTATATTGTCCCAATATACTGTATTTCAAAAAGCACTGGGCTGTTTTTCCTTGAAGAAAAACATTTTGCTTCTCATCCAAGGAGCTTCTTCAGTTCTGATTGAATGGTAGAGGAGAGAAGGATTTATATTCCCGGGTGCGCTTCAAGGTGCTACTCACCATCCATAAAGCCCTCCATGGTAGTGGGTCTGATTACTTGAGAGACCGCCTTCTGCCGATTACCTCCCTTTGACCCATCAGATCGCACAGATTGGGCCTCCTCCGAGTTCCATCCGCCAGTCAGTGCCGACTGGCGACTACNCCCCCCGACAATACAAAACCCACATCCCCGACGGCGGCGGCCGCAGCGGTTTTTCGCAAAACAACCGCATCCACGTGCCGTTCCCGGGCAGGGCAGCCTTAGGCGCCCTGAGGGAAGCGTGGGAGGGGGAGGGGGGGAGGGCGGGGCGACAAAGCGGCGTTGGGAGCGCTCGCGCCAGCTCCTCTTTTTATTTTTTTTTAAATTTTCTTTCTCTCACTCTCCCCCCCCTCCCCCTCGCCCCTTTCCAACCCGGCTGGGCGAAAGCTCGGCTCGGGATTGGCTGAGCGGGCTCACGCGAGCCGGCAAGGCCAAAAGGGGGCGGAGGGAGGAAAAGAGGTGGTTGATCTGGAGTAACCCCCAGGCAGCCGCAGTTGTCCTCCTCCTAAGGCGCGCGCTCGCTCCCTCCCTCTCGCTCCCTCTCCCTCTCTGTCTCGCGCTGTCGTCCTTCTCGGCGTCGTCAAGCTTCGGGCCTGCCGGGGGCTGCGCGTGCGCGTTCGCGCGCGCCGGTCTCCCACACAACGCGCCCCCTCCCCTCTCCTCCTCCCCCCCCACCATCCTCCGGGTCCAGCCGCTGGGCCAAGATGGCGGCGCTGAGCAAATCCATCCCCCACAACTGCTACGAGATCGGGCACACCTGGCACCCCCACTGCGGGCGAGCCTTCGTGCACATCACCCAGGGGGCGTTTGGAGAGTCGCTCCGCATCTATGGGACCCTTTACCTGGTGAGAGGCCACCCCACCCCCCTGCCTTGCTGTACACCCCCCCTCCTCTTCACCCCCTGGTTATGGAGGTGAGAGAGAGAGAGAGGGAGGGGAGGATGAGGATGGACGTAGAGTGGGAGAAGTGGGAGAAGAGGTTTTGTGTGTGTGTGCGTGTGTGTGTGTGAAGGATCAGTGCCAGGTGTGATCCCTGCCACGGCAACCTAGGTGGTACCTGCACCTAGACTTGGAAAGTGGGATTGATCGTGACGGTCAAGGGCACCCCTTAAAATGTGTGTGTGTGTCTGTGTGTATAATTACAAGCTTCATCGCTGGAGGATTTTTACAGAAGAGGCTGAACAGCCACCTGCCTGAAATGGTACATAGGGTCTCCTGCTTGAGCAGGGGGTTGGACTAGATGACCTCCGAGGGACCTTCCAGGTCTTATTCTGATTGACTGAAGCCTTGACTGCCACCTGAATTACTATTACTCTTCTCATTGTTCCTATTACTCATCTCCTCCCACTTACGGCTGCAGGACTGTAACCTTGTGGCTTGTATCCTTACGATATATATTGATATTGATTGTTTCCTGACTGCTTATTTGTACCCTATGGCTATCATTAAGTGTTGTGACTTATGGTTCTTGACGAATGTATCTTGCTTTTTTATCTACACTGAAAACATATGCACCAAAGACAAATTCCTTGTGTGTCCAATCACATTTGGCCAATAAAGAATTCTACCTACCTACCTACCTCTGCCTGCCTGCCTGCCTATCAATGTGCCCCCACCCCTCCCCCATTGTGTTATTCCTATTGGCTGCTATTTTCTAAAAAACGATGCTTCTGGTCATATTTAAGTAGAGACGGAATAGATGGAATCAACTATATCCAATTGTGCAATTCTATGCCCCGTAGCTCTGATAGAATGGCATCTTTGCCAACGGTGTATATATTTTTGCTGTATACCTGCATAGGACCAGGTGACTTGGGGGATTGCTTAATCAATCAGAATAAGAGCTGGAAATGACCTTGGGGGTCATCTAGTCCAACCCCTTGCTCAAAGTCAGAGACCCTGTTTTTGCCCCACAGCTCCCACAGGGAGGGCATGCCGCATGTTCTTTCTTTTAAGTCTTGTCACCTTGTGGGACTTGGAAAGTGTGTCTTTCCTGTGGTTGTCCCTGATGCTGCGTATGACAGGCCCTAACTTGCCTTAATTTTGGAAAGACCCCCATGCGTTTGGGATCAGTTGAGTGGAAATCCGCCCCCTCCCCCCATTTCAGAGGTGTGTTTGGTTGTGTGCTTGGTTGTTATTTTATATGACATTCTATATGGCATTTTATGTTATACTGCTTGTTTGTTGTTAGTTATATTCCTGTTATTCTTACCATTATTGTATGTTTCTGTTTTACGCTGCCCATAGTTTGAATTGGGTGGTCTCATAAATCTGGAAACAAAATATGTCATATCAAGAAACTTAACTGAGGATATGGCTGGTTAATGTTATATTTAGTTGTTGACATGCTCTCTTGCTCTTTTCCCTAAAGGGACATTTTAAAAAAAACACACCTTTTTTTATTTAAGCTGCGCATGAGTCTACAGATTCCAAGGCAAAAAAGTACTTTGAGATTGCAGGGTTTGTGAAAATAACGCTATACCTGATTTAAAGGAAATATGTCTTTTTCCAGGATCAGTTTTGACAAGCAGCATAACTGCATTTATATCCCAGTGTCTTCCTAAGCATATTCTCCCCTTGGGATTTGCAGTGCTGCAGAGTCCTTTTCTGAGAGATGCGGTGGCTCAGTGGCTAAGACACTGAGCTTGTCGATCAGAAAGGTCGGCAGTTCGGCAGTTTCGAATCCCTAGCGCCGCGTAACAGAGTGAGCACCTGTTACTTGCCCCAGCTTCTGCCAACTTAGCAGTTTGAAAGATGTAAAAATGAAGTCGAAAAATAGGAATCACCTTTGGTGGGAAGGTAACAGCTTTCCGTACGCCTTCAGCATTTAGTCATGCCGGCCACATGACCACGGAGACGTCTTTGGGCAGCGCTGGCTCTTCGGCTTTGAAATGGAGATGAGCACTGCCCCCTAGAGTCGGGAACAACTAGCACATATGTGTGAGAGGAGCCTTTAGCTTTACTTTAACCAGATTGCCATAGTGGTTAAAGCTTGAGGCTAGAAACTGGGAGACCTTGAGTTCTAGACCTGCCTTGGACACAAAGCCAGATGGGCAACCTTGGGCCAGTCACTTTCTGTAAACCCTGAGAAGGAGTCGATGTTCTGAAAAACCTTGCCAGGAAAATTGCAGAAACTTGCCCAGGCAGTTTTTGAGAATTGGACAAGACTGAACGGGAAGAGGGGGGGGGGGCAAAGGAGTCCTATTGTTTCAATTTTCCTTCAAGGATGTCAATGTGATTTGGGGCTTCCAGGTGGAATCTGATCTTTTATTAAGCCTATAGCTATTCAGCTTCTATAAGACTACTACAGCAGATACACATGTATTCTTCCTTGTGTAAAAGATATTGAGCAATGTGGGGTATATATACCAAGCATTTGAATTGAGAGGAGTAAGTAGCTGTTTCTGTGAGATGGACGGCTATTTATTAGACAAAGTCACTGGTTATTGGAAGAAAACATACTATTGAAAGAGCCAGTTTTGTGTAGTGGTTAAGGTGGTGGCCTAGAAACCAGGAGATTGAGTTCTAGTCTTCCTTTAGTCATGATAACTGGTGGGTGATTTGGGGTCAGTCGTACTGTCTCTCTCAGCCCAACTCACCTGGCAGGGTTGTTATGGTAGAGGAAATAGGAGGAGGAAGGAGTATCCAGTACTGCGTGTAAGAACCATGGTGGTGCAGTGATTAGAATGCAGTACTGCAGACTGCTTCTGCTGACTGCCGGCTGCCAGCTGTTCAATCCTGACCGGCTCAAGGTTGACTCAGCCTTCCATCCTTCTGAGGTCGGTAAAATGAGGACTCAGATTGTTGGGGGCAATAGACTGATTCTGTAAACCACTTAGAGAGCGCTGTAAAACCCTGTGAAGCAGAGTTTAAGTCTAGATGTGAAGGAAGGAATGAATGAAGGAAGGAAGGAAGGAAGAAAGGCACCGGGGTGGTGCAGTGGTTAGAATGCAGTATTGCAGGCTGACCCTACTCACTGCCAGCAGTCCGATCCTGACCGGCTCAAGGTTTACTCAGCCTTCCATCCTTCCGAGGTGGGTAAAATGAGGACTCAGATTCTTGGGGACAAGAGGCTGACGCTGTAAACCGCTTAGAGGGGACTGGAAAGCACTGTGAAGCAGTGTATAAGTCTATGCGTGGAAGGCAGGCAGGCACCATCATGGTGCAGTGGTTAGAATGCAGTATTGCAGGCTGACCCTACTCACTGCCAGCAGTCCGATCCCGACCGACTCAAGGTAGACTCAGCCTTCCATCCTTCCGAGGTGGGTAAAATGAGGACCCAGATTGTTGAAGGGGGGGGGGCGGGCAATAGGCTGACTCTGTAAACTGCTTAGAGCCTGCTTCACAGGCTGTAAAAACACTGTGAAGCAGTATATAAGTCTAAGGGCTATTGATTAGTGCTATTGCTATGTTCGCCACCAGGAGTTATTTATAAAATTGATAAAGATGGGATAAAAATAAAATAAATAATAAACAAGACCTGGTTGATAATGAAGAAATAAATGCGAATGTATCTCAGTTATGTCTGCAGGTTTATTCTTTGCTGCCTACCCCAGACCTTCCTAGGACGACTGTAACATTCCAGTTGACCTCTTACCTCTCAGTTTATCTTTGGCAAGCTCACGGGATGTCCAAAGTTTAAAGGTATCACCAGATTCAACATTAGTTGTGTGCAAAGACCTTGACTGGATTCTATTTGGCTTCAGTTCATACAAGCAAGATTACGTGTTATAATGAGGACAGAATGTAACAGTGAAGAAGGTAAACAGAGAAATAAATACTGTGGTTGGGAAGATGTTCAGATTATTAATTCCGAAATGATTTATTCTAGCTAGGATCTGCTTCAGAACAATAAGCAAAAGCATTTACTATTTCCTACCTGATTCTTTTGGCCATGGATATGCTAAAAATGAACTTTGAATGTAATTGTCAGCCCTTCTTCATTCAAAAATCAGGAAAGAAAACCACAGGACTCCATTGGTAGAAATCAAGTGTACTTTTACTAATTATAAATGAATAGAAGCGAAGCTAAGCGAAGTCTGATTATTTAGGCACGAAAGCGAATAATATATTGTATAATTCATTCCCCTCCCCTTGGCATCCCGTGCACAGTCCAATCATAATTCTCCCAATTGTCAGGTGTGAGATAACTTCGAAAGGCATCACCAGGATGGAATGCTGGTTCCGTTGGCCTTGGCGGGAAACACTCCTCCTCCACATGCGCAGTAAGGTGGACAGTTCAAAATCTAGAATCTTCCTCCAGCACAACAATGAGTCCCCTCCCAAATACCATGCCTCCCCCTCCCCGTTTCAATGGCAGCCGAAGCAGCAGCACAGCGGAGGCTGACAGTAATTTATACAACCTCCTATTTAAAAAAAAAACACTTCCCTCTGTAAAACATTAAAGGACTCAATGCTCGAAATAAAACATCATACCAAATGATAATGATTGAAATGATGCCCTGCACTTTGAATTGCAACCAGAAAGAAATGGGAAGCCAGTATAGCTTGTGCAACAAATGTGTTCCACGGGCAAACCTACTGACTGCTATTATTGTGTGAGCTGCTGCACTCTGGACCTGCTAAAGTTTCGGATAGTCTTCAGGGGCAGGCAAATGTAGAGTGCATTGCAGTAATCCTTTGCAGTAATTGCAATTGTTAGCTATATTGTAGTGGGCTTAAGAGGAATTGTAACCTAAAAGAACTGGAAAAGAACAGTTTATAAACCATAATTATATACATACCAGTAGATATCTATAAATAAGTTTTACCGCACTTGGATTCACACCCATATTAAGCCGTGTAGTTTATGAATTATAATAGCTCTGTTTGTGCAAAATAGCAGT